ACCACGCCCCCTTCATGCGCATGGCAGCGCCGTGTCTCGCGGTCCGCCCGCCCACAGGGGGGCGCTGTGGTGCCGCCGCGTCCGTTCCGCGCCGCCGGTGAGGCTCGGCCGCGCCCGCCCCGGTGCGGCGGGATGGGCAAGAGCTGCAAGGTGGTGGTGTGCGGGCAGGCCTCGGTCGGGAAAACCTCCATCCTGGAGCAACTGCTGTACGGGAACCATGTGGTCGGTAAGCGCGGCTTCCCCGGGAAGCGGCGACCCCGGGTGTAGCGGGCAGGTCCGGCCCTGGGCAGTGCTGGCTGTGGGGATCCCCCCGGGCAGGGCTGTCCCTGCTCACCCCCAAACACAGCGGCCGCGGGCGGGGAGGGCACGGCGGGACAGCTCCCCGGGCTGGGTTCCCACGTGGCTCCTGCCCTCCCCGCCAGGCTCGGAGATGATCGAGACCCAGGAGGACATTTACGTGGGCTCCATCGAGACGGACCGCGGTGTGCGGGAGCAGGTCCGCTTCTACGACACGCGGGGGCTGCGCGACGGGCTGGAGCTGCCCAAGCACTGCTTCTCCTGCACCGACGGCTACGTGCTGGTCTACAGCACCGACAGCAAGGAGTCCTTCAAGCGTGTCGAGCTGCTCAAGAAGGAGATCGACAAGTCCAAGGACAAGAAGGAGGTGAGTCCCCCTGGAGAAGGGGCTGCCAGTGGGATCTGCTCCCCTGGGGCAAGTTCTCACCTTTGTTTTCTCGGGCTTGTCACAACATACCGCTGGGTCCCTGATCCATGGGTCACTGATCTGTGAGGCTCCCAGCAGTAACAGGTTGTCTCCTGGGATGCTCTTTGAGCATACAGGTGCTCAAAAGCTCCTTCCACTTTGGGGCTGGTTTGGGATACACAGACCTCAGCAGGAGAGGAAGGGAGCGCTGAGATCATTTGGTTTCAGAAGGCCTTGACATGGACGGGGAATCAGTGGCAGGGCCAGGCCCACCATGGCAGCTCTCCATGGCAGAGCCAGCCAGCCCTGCAGCTCCGTGGTTGGTCATCAGGGGCCCTTCTCACCCTTTTGGAACAGGTCACCATTGTGGTTTTGGGCAACAAGTGTGACCTGCAGGAGCAGCGCCGGGTGGACCATGATGCAGCCCAGCACTGGGCCAAGGGCGAGAAGGTGAAGCTGTGGGAGGTGTCTGTGGCTGACCGGCGCACGCTGATCGAGCCCTTCATCTACCTGGCCAGCAAGATGACACAGCCACAGAGCAAGTCTGCATTTCCCCTGAGCCGCAAGAACAAGGGCAGCGGATCCATGGATGGCTGAGCCTGCTTCCCCTTCCCTTCCACAGCCGCCTCCTCTTCCTCACCTTCCTGCTTCCCTCGCACACACCTCCTGCTGAGTCCTGTCTGGTGTCACAGAGCCTGTGGGAAGCAGGTGGCAGGAGGAACAATCATCCCAGGGCTAGGAATGGTCCTGGCAGATGAGAGAGGCAGTAGGACAGGAGCTACTCCTCTCTCTGCCCAGCCCCTGCAGTGGTCAGAGGTGCTATAGGAAGATCACTCAGTGACCCCCTCTGCTCTCAGGTGCAGGCTGGGAGAGTGGAACAGAGGCACAGCACAGGCTAGCTGGAACGTTGGGATCAGCTCCACATCTGGAGGGAACAACTTCCTCTTTTTCTGTTTCCTGATAACATGTGGGCAGAGCCTGTTTGCTGGCCCTGCTTCCAGCCAAACAGCTGTCCTTGCCCTGCCCCAGCTGGCTCTGTGCTGCTCCCTGGCAGGTTGTCCCTTACTCTGGCAGTGTTCACTGCTCCTTTATGCACTGGAATATCCAGACATGCTGCCCCAGGGAATGCCTAGAGCAGGGCAGGTGCTGTTCTTGAGGGCAGGGTGCCCAAATCCATCATTCCAGCCCTCCTCTTCCTGAGTGCAGACTCAGCCACGAGCTTGGAGGAGATGGGGTTGTGCTTAACCTGCCTGCCTAGATCCTTGGAGGAGCTGGGACTATACTTACACTGCACACCCCTGATGCTTTGGGCTATGGCAGCTCTCACTGCCCACCTGTCACAATGCTGCCTCCTCTCAGCATAAGACAAGGCACAGGTGTCCCAGTCCTACCCAGTAACTCTCGTTCCCTTCAGGTAATCTGGATGTAGGAAAAGAACTGATGAAAAACTCCAATGTGTTTATACTTGTTCCTTTTATTTACTGAGTAACACAATAAAGCGACGAGATTCGGTTATCAAAATATTTTCCTTTTTTTTTTTTTTCCCAACAGTTATAGTACATCAAAAAAATATACAATGAACATTACAGCAGGGTACTGGCCAAGTCCCTAGAGTCTGGATATTCCATTTTGGGTTTTTTTTTTTTCTGGTTTTTTGAATCAAACTTCACATCACTCCAAGGTTATTTACAGAGGGGCACACGTTACCGAGCGCTATGGACTATCCCTACTCCTAGTACAGCATGTGCTAAGTCAAAGGCAGTAAATGCTTTGGAGAGCAGGAGGGGATTTGGGGGGATGCCATAACGGGGGTTTCTTACGCAGCTCGTTGCAGTATTATTGTTACTAGAAGGAATGGCTTTCACAGGGTTAAAGTGCCAAGAACAGGAGTGCGTCAGGACTCCACTGGTGAGGGGCAAGGAGCAACCATGGCTCCAGCACAGGCTTTTTGGAACAAGGGAAGGGAACAGGCCCAGTGGTGCCAAGAAGCTCTGCAAGCTGGAGCCCAGCTGCTCCTGGCTCCCCATGCTTCTGAGGGGCTGGGCACAGCACCAGGGGCTCACGGCACAGGAGGGGACCCACTGTCCTGCTGGACTGGGGGTGACCCCCAGGGCCTGGGAAGGGCACAGTGAGACGGGCAGGGGTGGCTGGAGATGCACCAGCCATGGGTTGCTTGGCACTGGGGAGTGGATAGAACAACCCTCCTTCCCCTGGGGCCCCACCAGCACAGGCTCCTGTCCCCTGGGATGTGGGGTCCCTTCGTGTCCCCCCTGGGCTGTGGGACCATCTCCCTATCCCTGGCAAAGCTGTTCTTGCTGGGAGCCTTCCTTCCCTCTGCTGTGCTCCAAGCCACATGTCCCACCACTGCTGCAAGACCTTTCCATTGTCTCCATGCACAGCTGCTCAGTCTTCTCCTGGTGCCCTCTCTCTACTCTCCTCCTTCCCTGGGGAAGGGATGCCCTGAGCAGGTGAATTCATACCCAGGGGCTCCCTCACTCTCCTGTCTCTGTGACAGGAGTGCAGTGGTGGCTCCATGGTTGGTGCTGCCCACAGATCCTGCAGGTGTGTGCTCCCTCCTGCAGCTTCCCTGTCCTTGCCAAGGCTCCAGCCCTGGGAAGCAGATATGTTTCAGCCATCTGAGTCACCCATTGGCCACTTCCCATTCACCTCCCCATGCCAGGACCCATCCTGAGCATCGACGGAGCACGCTGGGCAAAATATCTCTGAAATCCAGGTGCTGCTTATGGCCAAGACATCAGATATGTGTGTGCTTGTGCGTGTGGATTCCCAGGTGCACACACCAACCTGCCTCTTCCCGAGGGCTGGGAGGGAATGGGAGTCACAGCAGAGGTCTGAACCAGCACCCTGGGCTGAGGACAGGACAGAGCTCAGTGTCACATTGGTTCTTCTGCTCCCACCACTGTTCCAGCTGCATGGATGCATCAGCACCAAAGGGAATCGCAGGCGGCCGATGCGGCAGGTGAGCTGCCCCCCTGGATTGCATAGATCGGGGTGGGGTGTTCCTCCAGCGAAAGGTCCATTTGGGATGCAACTCTCTCTATGTACAGCAGTGTGCTGGGCACCCAGAGCTCCGCAGTGACAGTCCCAGACAGGTCATGGTTGGGCTGTGTGAGCACAGTGAAACACAGAGCTATGGCCTCGAGGTCCCTCCAGAGCCCGGCATTCCGCAGGTTATGGGTGCACCCCGATTGTCCAGGCTGCTGAGGACACCTTTGTTTTCGGGAATCATCAGGATTCATTCCTGGAAGCTCCTAACTGGGATGGGATTGGAGGGCTGGGCACGGCAGGTGAGCAGCAGCATTGCCTTTCACTGGAGAACTGAAAGTGCTTTAGGGACATTCACTCAGCCTCACAGCATCTCCCGGGAGGTAGGGGCAGGGCTGTCCCCACGGTGGGACAGAGACAAGGACAGGTGCCAAGCACAGGGTCACCTCCTCTCGGGGAGCCAGCACCAGACAGACCTGGTGCTCCCGGCCTTGCTGGGCGTGAGTTGGGCCCAGCTTGGCCACATGCCCATCGTGTGCTTCTGGGGCCAGGGCAGGGCCCGTGTGCTTTGGAGGGAGGAGGCGTCGCCCTGGGGTCAGCTATTGCTCTCGGAGTGAGGATACGGTCGGTGTGGCCGGTGCCCGCCACCGCAGGGGCTCTTTGGCTGGTGGGACGTAGGGAGCTGTGGGGACAGGGGGCTGGTGGGTGGCACAGAAACCCCCTGCCAGCACAGGCAGGTGCAGGGTTGGCAAGGGCACAGCCAGCCCAGGCTGAGAGAGAAACTGTCAGCTTCCCACTTGTGCTGGGGTTGTTTCTCCCAGTAAGAGCCGGGCTGAGATTCCCCTCGCAGTTCCCTTCCCACTGGGCTGGCAGGGACTAGAGGGATGCTCCTTCTCCCAGGGACCAGCCAGCTCCTCTCCTTCCAGTCTGGCAACTGGGAGGGCGATGAAGAAGCAGCCAGCAGGCCAAGGACAGGCAGGCTCTGGCCATGAGACGGTCCTGCTGATTTGGACACTGTCTTCTTCCGTGCACTGCCTGGGCTCATCTGCTGAGCACGGGGCCAGCACAGGCTGGGGGAGCGGTGGGGATGCGCGGCGGGGCTGGCCGGGCTCTGTCAGGGCACCTCTCTCCAGTGGGAGCCCTCTCCAAGCAAAGGAGAAGCCGGGGTTGATGTCTACGACTACATTTTCCCAGCAGCCAGGAGAGCAGGTACCAGGAGCACTGCCCCCAGCGCGCAGCCCCCGCAGCCCAGCCCAGCTGCAGTGGACAGACCCTCGGTGGGCCAGCGGCTCTAGTAGGGTGCGAAGACGATGGGACCCGGCGTGGGGCGGACGTGGGCCGGCGGCGTTCGGAAAAGGGCTGGTCCGAGGATCGGGGCTTGGAAAAGGGTGGTGGCAGCTGCTGGTCGCAAGGCAAGGGGTCCAGGCATGGCGCAGACAGCAGCGGCGGTCAGCGGGCTCGGCAGGAAACGGGTTGCCAGGGTTTTGGTGAGGTGCTTCTGCAAAGCCAGCTTGGACTGCAGGGAGGGAGGAGGAGACACCGTGAGACTGCAGAACAGGTGGAGGAATCACAAGTGCTGCCATTGTGAATGCTGCTGCCAAAGCACTCCCGAGTTATCCCCATGCTGGCCTTCCCAGGAATGGACTCAAAACCCGCTACAGAGCTCACTCTCCCTGAGGGGAGAAGCTGAGCTCTGGTGATGGAAACAAAGGTTTAAGGGAAGCAGCTCCCGTAACTCACTGCAAGGACGGCTGATGGCGAGCAAGGCTTTGTGAGCAAACGGAGCAAGTGCTGTGCAGGGAGACAGGTACCTTGAGAATACTCACTGCAAGGGCAGCATTCTTCTGCAGCTTGTTGTAGGGGCTGTACTTGGGCTTGGGTGGCTTCCCTGCCAGCCTGTCTTTGTGCCTCCGGCTGCTCATGTGCTGGGGAGGAAAACAGCTGGATCACTGAGAGCCAGGACAGTGTACAGTGCAGCCCAGGTCTGTGGGGACACCCATCACCCTGCAGGGACCATCGGGTACCCACACCCTGAGTCCCTGCACGTCCACACCCGGTGTCTGGGCACTCCCAGGGCATTGTCACCTGCTTGAGCTGGGTCTCGGAGTTCACGTAGATCTCGCACACTTGGCAGTGAAACGCCTTGTTCTGGATGTTGATGCTGCCCTTGTTCCCGATCCGCTTGGACTTGTGCCCTGCCCGGGAGAGCAGCTTGCCCCGGCCTCGCCGCAGTTGGGTGCCGTGACCTTCCAGCATTGACTTGTGCTTGGCGCCTGGCGAGAGGGGACGCTCAGCAAACCCAGCCCAGCCCTGTGCCAGCACCACGGCAGTGAGAACAGTGCCCTCCAACAGCTCCAGGGGAACCCCACCAAGCTGTGCCCAGCAGCAGGCAGAGGGGACAGGGAGCTGCCTGGGAACCCAGACTTTTGTCGGTGCTGCACAGCTCGTTCCCAAACCCTGCCAAACTGCACATTGCAAGCAGAGCAGAGATGCTCATCTTCCCAGAGACCCCCCTCCATGTGCCAGCTTCGGAGATGCTGCTATTTTGAGCATGCACTGGAGCCTGTCGCCTGTCCTCGGGCATTAGCACAGTCTGCAGAGTCGGGCACGCGCCGCTCGCTGTGCTGCAGCATCTGAGCCATGCCCAAGGTCAGAGAGGAGCCAGCCATGGAGCCAGGAATAGCTCAGCAGGGTCACAGCAGGTGGGGAAGGAGGAACCCAAGATCCCTACACACCTGGGGACAGAGCACCCCATCCTGTCCCTGCCAGTGCCAGGATGGCGAGAGTGCATGGGGAGCAAGTAATTTAAGGCCCTGCTAATTCATTCTATTTTTTAAGGCGTGAAGCAAGGAGCTGTGTGACAGCCACGGAGCAGTGCCAGCCTGCAAATGTTTGTTTGTTTGTTTGTTTGTTTGTTGTTCTTTTTCCCCAAATCAGCTCCTGAATTTGTAACTGGAGCTGACAAAAGCAAAAGAACACGTCTGTAGCTGAGCCTCAGCAGTGTCCTGAGCCAACCCTGCACACGGCAGCTGCTGCTGCCCCAGTAGGCAGTGGGGTGGGAGGAACTGGTCCCCAGAACTGACTGAGCTGGGGCAGGAAAGGACCTTCCATTTAAAGCTGGGGTGCCCAACTTAAGCATCCTCTAGAGAAAGGGGTGAGCCAGGAGCTGGAACTGCAGGGCCTGCAGACCCAACTGAGGACCCCTGTACCATGGCTGCCACCCCCTGCTACCACCCTGGGGGTGGGTCTGGCCACCCCCAGGATTCAGGGGGACCCTGAGCAGCTCCCACAGCTGCCCACCCCAAGGGGCTGCCCCGCACAGCCCAGGAGTCATTGCAGGCTATGGACATTCACAGTTCATTGCATTCTCAGGGATCTTCTCCACAGGGCCACAAGCCCAAACCACTGAGCTGCTTTGGCAAGTATTATTCCAGGTTTGGGAGAAGCCCTGGCTATCAACTTCAAGCTAAATGGAAAATAAAATAGCCTCAATCACTTGATTAAAAGTAGCTGGAAATGTCCTTAATTGAGATATGAATAGTAACAGTGTTTGACCTTGTGAAAATTCACCCTAGAAGCTGCAGCCCAGGTAAAGCCCCATGGCTGATCTGTGCAGGTCATTTTAATGAACATTTTTTAATTACAGCAGCACTCATTATTGCTCACTACTTCATTGCAGGGCTGCTTGGTTATGGGGCATGGCTGGGCTTTGCTCAGAGCCCCAATGAAGTGTCAGGGGGGCCGTCCCCCTGTCCCCCCAGTAATGCCCTTACCAGTGTTGTGAGCCTCCAGCTGGGACAGGGAGTTGACGGTCACTTTGCAGGTGGGACAGTACAGGTGCTGTTTGCTCTTTTTCCCCTCTTTCTCACTCTCAGGGGCCGAGCTGACGCTGCTGCCTGACTCAGCTGTCTGTGCCTCAGCTGCCTGGGCGGATGAGGAGGCCACGCTGGTGGCATCTGAGGTGCCCTCCGATAGCTCAGAGGCTGGTGGGGAGCCCAGCGGGGCAACAGTGCCTGGCAGCTCCACAGGTGGTTCCTCAGCACTGGGCACCAGCCCCAGGCTGCTGCCTTCACCCTCCGACTCCTCCTTCATCCTCTGACTGGCATCAGCTGTTGGGAGGGAAAGGAAAGGGGGAAAAGGGGAAAAGAAAAAGAAATGGGGAGAAGGAGAAAGTTCTGTGCCTGAACAGGTTTTCTGGATTTTGGGGAGCACCCCCGTCCTCCTCAAGACCAACTCAGACAAGTCTGCATGCATTCATCCCTGCCAAGGGCGGCTCTTCCCCAGGTCTCTCCTATTACAGCTGTTATCTGTAATAACAGATAACAGATAATGGAATCTGGGCTCAGCACAAAACCCCAGGTGAGCTCTGGTGCTGCCACGGCTCCCACCAGCCCCATCCCTGCATGTGGCAGAGCCCTGGGGATGTGTGAGACAGAGCTGGCTTTCTCTCCTGCATCCATACAAAACACATCCCAGAGACACCAAATCACAGGGAAACACCCCCTGCTCCCCCACGGGCACAGGATCTCATTTATAAACCAGTGGCACCTCTGCCCCACCGACCGCAGCCTCCTCAGCCCCACAGCCCCTCTCATACCTGTGCTGCCCAGCTCCCCACTGCCCACGGGGCTGGGGGCCAGGTCGGCTGCACTGTCCTGGCCAGGGGTCCCTGCTGCAGCCCCCACCACCTTCTGCTTGTTCTTCATGGCCTCGATGGCCTTCAGCCTCCGCGCGTGCTTGTGGCCCTTGTAGTGAGCTTCTGCCTGGTTCTGGGGGGGAGACCGGGATGGCCAAGTCACTGCTGTGACCAGACAGACAGACAGACATGGGGAGGGCAGGTGATGGGCTCAGACCCAGCATGTGGCCACTCAGGGATGTTTCTAGTGCAGCCACCTTACCTGGTGGCATCCACCCCCAGGGCAGGACCACTGCAAGGCTGTTGGGAGTGAGGTGTAGCACAGAGGGGGTGTTGGGAGTGGGGTGTAGCACATGGGGGTGTTGGGAGTGGGGTGTAGCACAGAGGGGGTGTTGGGAGTGGGGTGTAGCACAGAGGGGGTGTTGGGAGTGGGGTGTAGCACAGAGGGGGTGTTGGGAGTGGGGTGTAGCACAGAGGGGGTGTTGGGAGTGGGGTGTAGCACAGAGCCCTTTCCCTCCTCTCCCCAGCCTGCTCTGACACCAACGTATTGAGGCCAAGGTATCACTCTCTAAGACATCACAACATTGCTTGCTTGGTGAGATAAGGACCCTGCTCGGATTAAATGCATCAAGTCGCTCCTAAAAGCAGCTTTCAGGCAAAATTTATGACTCCAGAAATGTACAATGAATTGTTGCTGTAAAAACGAAATAAAGAGGTTCTCTGGTGGGGAGGACACATCACCCACTGTATCCTAAGGGGTGTCCAACTCATGGTTCACATCCCCAGCTCCTCTCTCTCAGTGAACGCTGGATAATGAAGCGCGACTCTGATGGATTCACGTCTGCACCAAACTGATAAAAATGGCCACGAAAAAAATCCCCTGAACACTGGTGTCCTCCCAACAGGGACAATGCTGCATTGTCCCCCAAAACAACCCCAGTTTGGCAATTTATGGAGAGAAACCTCACTATGAATTAGATACTGTGCCCCTGCGTTGGGCAGATTAATTTGCACAGCATTCCAGGGGGCCAGCTGAGGATTCCCGGGCTCGGCAGGGGGAAGCATCCTATCCCGTCCCATCCCTCCCCCTGTGGCTTCCCAAGGGCTGGGAACAGGGAGCTGGGGCTGTGGTTGGTACGTGGGAAAGCAAAAGGCCAGTCCGAGCGTGGTGCCTCATTAGCAAAGACAATAAACTCCCCCTGGATAACAGGGCTGGGTACAGCTGAAGTAGGTCACAGCCTCCATGCTGGAACAGCCGCAGGCTCTGAGGGTCTGGGCCAGCTGGGGGGACCTGGAGGGACATGGGCAGAGTAGGAACAGGGGCATGGGGTGCTCACAGGGGCACTGGGAACACGTAGTGGGACTGACTCTCCTGGCACAGCACCTCTAGCTGGGAAGCAGCCTGAAACAGGGAAGCAACCCTTTTCCTGAGCTGCTTGGCTGTGGAGCGGAATCATGAAGCCCAGAACCAGGGAGCTGTGCTGGCAGAGCAGCACCAGCCCCAGGCACTGCAGATCCAGCATGGCCAGGCTGGCATGGCTCCTCTGCAGGCAGCCCGGGGAGGCAAGAGCAGCTCCAGGAGCGCACAGACACCGAGCACCGGCAGCTCCGCTGGATGAGACCGGCCCATCGCTGGGGATGCCCCTGGCAGGGGCTGGCCCCGTGTCCCCTGCTCGCTCCCTGCCCCATCCACAGCCCCGCTCACCGCAGAGTTGAAGCGCAGGTGGCAGATGTTGCAGGAGATGAACTGCTTCTTCTTGAGCGGGGCTGGCACGCCGAAGGTGTGGCTGATCACCGCCTTCTGCACCGGGTCCATCTGGAACGGGAGGGAGGGCAGAGGGAGGCTGGGTGCTGTGTCCTGATGGCTGCCCCAGCATGGCACCATGACCTGGTGACCCCCACGCCTGTCACACTCCCAAGGAGCCACTGCCAGTGCCGCAGAGCTCACACTGGGTGGCTGGAAGGAGCAAGGGGCTGCATCTGCTGAGGAGCCCTGCGGCCACAGAGGCTCCCCTGCACACGGCAACGTGCTGTGGCAACACTGGCTCCTGTCCTGCTTAAACCATTCCTGAATCCATCAAATCCACAAGGTTCGAATGTCAGCTGTGGTCTGGCAGAAGGGACGAGACCCCATCTGTGTGTCCAAGTCTCCTCTCCCCCCACACAGACACTTGTGTCACAGGTGGCAAATTGCCAGTTTCTGTTTGAACCTCACTGGCTACCCTTGACCTTAGCAGGAGCAGAAACCACCAAAGTGGGGGACAGAGACAAAACATCCGGCCATTCATTCTCCATGTGCTCTTCACCTGAGAGTTGGAATGTCCCCAGGCAATGCCAAAGGCACGAGCAGGGCCATGTGTGCCAGCCCATAGGACACTGAGAGCCCACATGGGTGCCAGGGCAGGAGGGACATCAGTGCTTGCTGCCACAGACACAGCTCACCCAAGATACAGTGCCCACAAAATCCCAACTCAAACCCAACAATGACAACTCGGTCATGGGGCTGGGCACACACAGAACCATTTCCATGACCTGTCAGGAGCCATGTCTGTCTTCCAGCCTGCCCAGGGCTGTGGTGGGGCCAAGAATGTGGCCAGTGCCAGGCCCTGGCCCTTCTGTCTCGCCCCAGGGCTCGGCCTCATTCCACAGCCCAAGCACCAAACTGCTTCCAAAAGCCATAATTGTTTCTAACGAAATGCATTTATTAAGGAAGAAAACATAAGAATAACCTCTTTGTCTGAGCGTGGCTCCAATCTATAATGCAAGTATTGTTCCCTACCCTGTGGCACAGGGAGATTATCTTATCTGAGTCCTGCTGTCAGGAGAGCCCGGGGTTTTCAGCGATCGTATTTCTCTGCAAAGCTATTTCACTGCCGAGACAGGTGCATCAGTCTTCGAGGCACATGCCTGGACAACAGCACCATTATCAAGACCCCAAATTCCTTTCCAGAAGTGAGCAGAATGGTAAAAGCAGGTGATTAATGAAGTGCCTGTTTGCTATGAAATTTTACTCACTTATCTGGCATATAAATGAAGAGGCATTTGGGGTTCAGCAGAGACCTGGGGGAAGCTACAGATGGCCAAGATGCTGTTCCATGCCTGACAACAAACATTGCAATGTGCTGCTGGCAGCACCCTCATGCTGCTGGGCTGCTGGGCCAGCACTTGTTTTCCAGAGAAACACCCACCTTTCCATTCAGAAAAGAAAAATGGCTCCAACCTTCCCAGCAGTGTCAGCCCCCAGGTTCCAGCCGGTTGCTCCCACCAAGCACCACCAGCTCCCACCAAACACCGGCACCCACTGAGCACTGCCAGCTCCCACGGGTCATCCACACCCTGAGCACTGCGGAATGAGCAGGGTGGGGATCGGAGGAGGAGGCAGAGGGGAGGGAGATGCTGGCACAAGGACACAAATGAGGCCAGGGACCATCCTGGCACCATCCTAAGGCTGCAAGGGAAGCTGGTGGCAGCAGGGCCATGTCTGAGCCTCAACTACACGGTGGTGGTGCTGAACAGCCCCAGCAGTGTCTCCTCATCCTCCTGGGGTTATGGCACCAGCCAGGTGATGGCACCAACCTGTCTCTGTCCACCTCCTGTGCTTTTGCCAAGTCCACCCTGCTCGACCCCGTGGCACAGCAATGAGCTGTGTCCACCAGAGCACCTGCAACTCACGAGCACAGCACTCACGAGCTCCCAGGGGCTGGGCTGGGCAGCTCAATCACACCTGGCTCCTCACCCCAGCCCCAGGCATCCCAGCCAAGGTGGCCATTGCTGCTCCTGCTGTCCCAAGGTGAACACAAGCAGTGTCTCAAGCCTTCAGTTGCCCATCCCCATGGGAGCACACACGGTCCCAGGTGCTTTGCCAGAAGCCCAGCCCAGCTCCAGCCCGCACTGAGCACGTCTGGTGCCACCTGAGAGCCCTTGTGCTTCTCCCCAAATGCAAACACAAACATCCCTCTACCTCTTCTCCACCACTCACCCTCGCAGCTCTCTCAGATATGGAAAAGTCCCCGCAGCTCCCGCAGGGCTGGCGGGGGCTGTGCTGCAGCCGTACATACCAGTCCTGCAGCCAGGGACTGAGGCTTTCCTGGCTGTTTCCAGAAGAATGGAGCCAGCAACAGAGGTGGCTTTGGGCACCGTGATGTTGGGGAATAAAGATCCCAGCTTTATAGTCAATTTGTATTGACTCACATTACTTTATTTATCCCTGGATGTTTCTGCTGATATAAATAGCGATCCCTGCGCCGAGCTCCCTGCGGCCGCTGAGGTCAGGAGCAGGAATTCACAGGGATGCAGCATCCGTTCAGATCGCGTCTGCTGACGGTGTTTTACGAGGCGCTGCTGGGTCCTGGGGATTTGCAACATCCCAAGCTAAGTGAAGAGCCTCTGGAGCAAGGGTTTTTTTTTCCCTGGTTGTTGCTGTAAGTGACAGGAGGCAGCTTGGAAGGGTTTTGTTTGCTCCGGAGTAAAACATCTGCTGGGTTCATGGGAGCCCTGTGACCTGCTCTGAGTGCAGAGTGTTCTGCTGGGCAGTGCAAACAGCTCCTGCTCTGCAGGGCATTGCTGAGCCCTCACAGCATCACCAGCGATGCAGGGCATGAAAGGGGAACCTCAGGATCCTGCTGTAGAGCAGCTCCAGTGTGGCAGCGACCTCAGCAAAGGGCAGACCCTGATCCTGACCCTGACCCTCTTCCCCACACTGAGGCTCAAGTGGAGTCTGACCAGCCTGGCTCAGGACACAGGGATGCTCCAGCCCTTCATCCTGTGGGATGGAAATTCTGCTTTGGCTCCTCCAGAGCCGCCAGCCCAGCACACCCTGAACCTCACCCAGCCTCCTTCAGCCACAACTCCAGCACAGACACACCCCAAAGGGGCAGCTCCTGCCCCTGGACCACCAGCCAACAGCACAGACTGGGCTCAGGTCTGAGCTCAGGGTGGTGGGCTCCAGACCCCCAGATGGCTGGGACAGCCTCCCCTGGCATCTCTGTCCATGTCTGGCCCATCCTCTGTGGCAGCAGCCCACACAGAGAGCAGCAGCCGTGTGACACTGCGTGCCTCCAGCAAGTACCAGATTCATTTTCCAAATTGCTAATTTTTTAAAAGCAACAAACGTGGGTGAACACACGCTGAGGCAGCAGCAGGTGGAAGCCAAGAGGAGTGAACAGGCGTTGGGTCAAGTTCACTCCTGACTCCAGTGACTAAAAAAAGAGCCCACACAAAAAAAGCAGGAACTATAATGGCATCAAAACCCCTCCTGTCCTGTGTTCCAGCTCATTAGCCCGGGGAGAGGCTGGGCTGGGGCTTCAAAAGAGCTTAAAGGACTCAGACGTCTGAATCCCATTGAACAGCAACAGGAATCCTGCGTGTAATTTCTGAACTGTCTTTGAGGATCTCAACTATAATTTGCACCTTCCGAGCACGTTTCAGCTCAAAGCCACTCACAAAAGGCCAGTGAGCAGGGAGGGGGCTCAGGAAAGCTGCCAGGAAAATTTCCAGGTTCAGGAGAGAAAACAATGGGCATTGACTGAGCCCCAGAGCACCGGCATGCAGTGCAGCCCCCGGACCCACTGCCCTTCCCAGGGCACAACCTGCTCCACAACAATTCCAGGCAGCACCCAGGGGTTACAGAGACCCCCACGGGGCTGGGACCAGCCTGGGGGAGCAGTGCAGCATGGGGAAAACAATATTTCACAGCAGACATGGTGGTGTGTGTCCTTGGCCACATCCATGGCAGTTTAACTGTCTAATGGAACATCTCTAAAGATTTGTGTCATTGCCCACCCCAGGCACCTGGGCTGGGGGTCCAAGGCTGGGGACCTGGAGCCCAAGCAGGGTGGGAGCAGCCCCCCAGCACTCTGAATCCCAACATCCACAGCACCAGCCACATTCCTCAGATCTGTAGTACATTCTCTCTCTTTTCTTTTCCTTATTTAATTTTCAACTAATGAACTGCTCTCCAGATTTACTTTATTACTATTGATTCCAGGGGCAAAATCCAATTGATCTTGGTTAAAATGAACCATGTTTTTAATTCTGGTACTGACAGGCGCTGGCTGGGCAGGAACCTCTCTGAGCTAAGGGAAAAGTAGGCATGTTGAACTGGTATCCAGCAGAGAAAGACCCCAGGAATTAAAGCTGAAACTACCTGGTAGGGTTCAAGCAGTGGTGCCATGTAGAGAGGGACTGCTGTAGGGGAGGAGGGGTCCAGCAGCTGACGCCCATCCTCCCTGGGGACTCACCGTGTTGAAGTTGGGGAAGAGGTTGAGCGGTGATGCCCCGTTGAGCCTGAAGGTCAGAAAGTGTTTGATGTCCAAGGGGGGATGGAGAGGCCGGCCAGGGATGGGCAAGGACGCTAAGAGGGGGCTGCTGTGTCCGGAGGGACCTGGGCAGGCAGAGGGAAAGAGCAGCGTTAGCACTGGTGACCCCCGCTCGCAGCAGCAGGACAGAGCACACAAAACATGTAAGGACATCTGCCATGGACTACAGAACCCCCCAGAGAAAGGTCCCAGCCCAGAGTGGCCCTGGGCACCCCTTTGCCTTCAAGGCTCAAAACCAGCACCCCAGTTCGAAGCCGGATGCAGCTGCCCCCGCATCAGAGCGTGGACACGCGCAGGAGTCTGAAACCTCAGAAGGTGTCCACACTTCCCCCAGGGACTCAGCCCCTTCCCTGGGCTCTCCCACGGAGCCACACAGCCCTGGGCTCCCTCACTCCAGCACCACCAGGGCTCCTCACCAGGGCTGGTGTGGTTTTGGCTGCCAGCAGCAGGAAAAGAACTGGGAGCAGAGGCTGAGCTGCCGCCACTCCTGCGCTACAGCCGCCGCTCCCCGTTCCCCCGCAAATCAACCACGCGCTCCAGCGTGAGATTTAAAAATAGCCTAGAGTTATTAATAACGTTCTGTTTCAACAGAAAACACTCGTGGGACAGAGGGATGGAGGGAGGGAAGGCCAAGCAGAGGGATCTTTCTCCAGCCTGCTCCCCATCCCAACTCGGACTCATCACAGATGATGAGCACAGGAAAGCATCCTCCAAGCACAGAGGGAGTTCCTGCCCAGCCCTGGGAGCAAGGAGGGGGAAAAGCTAAAATAAAAAATATTAACTAATCAAACACAATAAATAAACTGTTTCAGAGCGCTGTGAGCCAGAAGAGCCCACTCAGGTCCCACACAGCTTCACACCCACTCCAACCCACCCACAGCCCCATCCCTTTTTCTGCAGCAAGGACGAGGTCAACGTTCCTCATTCCTGTGGATTTTTTTGAGGTTTGGGTTCTTTTTCAGCTCAAAGGCATCACAGATCCCTTGACCCAGCACAGCACAACCCCATCCCACCACCCCCCTGGACCTGAGAATACCCTTGTGGGAGGCTGACAGTGGTCAGTACCCACTCCCACAGCAGGAACACTCTCCACCAGCACCTCTTGTGACAGCAGCGAGCCTGAGCCCCCCTCCAGCCCCCACACCCTGACGCCAGCTATGCAGAATGAGGACCCCAGGCTGGTGCTGCTCCTCACTCTTCTCCACACCCGCCCCATGCTGATCCTGGCTGGTGCAGGATCTGAGCCATGCATCTGAAATTCAAAGTTTGAGAGATTCCCTGGATTTGAGCAGCGAGCGCTCGTCACCAGCCCCACGGGCACCAACGACCTCTTTCTGGGCGAGCGCACGCGGCGGCTCTGCCACAGCACCGGAGCCATCCCCAAGCCAGGCCTGACTCCAGGGAGGAATTACAGTTTGCTTCATCAGGCGTGCACTGATCGAGTTAATTCCAGAGTCGCCCAGAAGGGAAATCTGTGAAACCGCTTAAAAATAAATAAATAACATTACAGCAGCAGCGAGCAGGACTGGGTGAGGGGTGCATAATTAACCTTCTGAGGCGTGAAACAGTGTTTCTACATCAAATCATCTGAGATGGCCGGGCTGGCGCCAGAGGAGCTGCCCTGGGATCCCCCAGCACACGCAGCCGGGGCCCCACGCGAGAGCAGCAAAGGCATTTGGGGCTGGATCACGAGGGGTGACACTCATCACAGTCAGTGAGATTTGCATGGACTGCACTGGCCTTAAAAACATAAAATATACATATATATCAAATATATATATATATATATGGGAGGAACAAGAAGTGGGCGATCACTTCATCCCCAAAACCAGTGACTACAACAAGGGATGCTGCAGCTCAGCGAATGCTTGGGCTGAAGGGTTCAGTCCCTGGGGAGAAGCTCCTGCACTGGGCAGGCACAGGACGAGTGCTGATGGACCAGGATCAACCACCACCTGCAGCAGCTGCCACCCACCAATGGTACAGAGAAGATATGTCAACCTCTTTGGCACACCCTTGAGCTCAAATCTGTGGATTAAACACATTTCTGGACTGGGGTAAACCAGGCAGCTTGAGAGAGCTCAGAAACCCCTGTGAGACCCTGCAGATGGGCAGGTCTTTTCTCTCTTGGCTTTGTCCCTGAAGCAGACAAGACTCCCAGGAACAGGAAGAGGGCTGAGGCCACCCCAGTGAAGCTCCCCAGCATGTCACAACACCGTGCTGGGCACCCACAGGATGCTCTTGGGGCACCTTCCCAAGGTTACAGGACCATGCCATTGTGAGTCCTGCCTTACCTTTGCTGCAGGGCAGATTCCAGCAGCAGCTGAAGGCATTATTTTTAGGTATTAATTAGACACTCAATTAAGGGGATTTGATTTTGGGAGAGTGGCAGGGTCCCAGGTCTGTATAGAATGACACGACCTTATGCAAGGTGACCCAGCAGCAGGTGGGGCTGTGCTGGTGAACAGCCCCCCCAGTGGTGCAGCTTTTTGTCACGGCCCCTGCTCTGTCTCCCCTCGTTTTGGCAGAGGAGCCCCCACCTCCACAGCAAATGCTGCTGCTCTGGCACTGCGGGTCCCCCTGGGACAGGACGTGCTCCAGGCTCTGCAGAGCATGCCAAGGGGCTGGAAGGAGACAGGAACCACGTGTTCCTGGCATGAGCACCTGCTGCAGTTTGGGGGGGTTGTCTCTGCCCTCCCCAGCTGCATAGGTACGGTCTAGCCCTGACCAAGAGATGTCACAGCCACGATGTCCCCGAGGTGGTGCCGCACATCCCCTGCTTGGGGCTCAGCCAGAGCCATCGGAACCTGCACGTTCTCTGCCTGGAGCTCAGCCCCTTCCCAGCCCTCTGGAGCTCAGCTCAGTTCCTGTCCCACAGACAAGTGACTTTTGTAGGGATCCCTTTAAAGGAATTTTCAGCCCTACCTCTAACCAAACTCACCCAAATTGTATCTGGCTGTCCTCCCCAGCCTGTCCCCCACCCCTTCACTCTACACAGCCACAGAACACACCCTGCAGAAGGCTTTTCTCCTGGTCCCTGTGAGGCAGAGCAGAGCAACTGTTGTGCTCTGACACCCGCCTGTGTGGAGCTCCCAGAGCTGCCTCTGAAGGTTCTCATACCAACAGGAGTGTGCCAAGGACCCATCTCCGCAGACGCCGCTGCCTCGGAGAGCATCTGGTGCGGAGTCTGCCCAGGCCAGATGGAGACGGAGCTGTTTATTCACACGGAGGCTCCCTCCTGCTTGGGAGATGTTCTCAGCAAATTTTGATGGTGTCTCTAAATCCCTAGCCAGGGCTTTAAAGCTTTTGTTTCTGGCCAAGCATGTTTCCAGGAGGCTCCCCGGTGCCAAAAGCTGTTGGGCAGAGAACAGGAGCAATACCCAGTCACAGCACTGGATCATGATGGCAGCACCAGTGCAGCCCCAACACCTCTGGGATCTGGACTAGGAACAAACAGATTGCACTGCACTGGACTCCCAGAGCAACCAGACCTGGACTGAGGGGCAGCAGATCTGTTACATCCTCCCACTTCCAGCTTTTGGCAACCCCAGCAAGGACCCGGCGCTCAGGATCCAACTGAGGTAATGCTTCATGCTGCCGCACTGGGTTTATTGCTGATGAGAATCCATCTGAACTGAAGGAAACAGCCCTCCAAGTCAAAACCAGCAAAGCCCCATCACGCTGGAACACACCAGCAGCACCCCAGCCGTGCTCAGCCTCTGTGCTGGCACCGCCAGCCCCGTGGGCAGAGGGGCCCGAGCTCCTGGCTGCTGTGGGCACCAACAGCTCCCCTCACCTCAGGACAGAGAAACACTTCAGAGCAGAAATATGAGCTGAACACCTCCAGTTGGTCCTGAAAGCAGGTGTTGAAGGACTTTCTCCTGGACTGCAGGTTGCCAAGAGCTCAGGGTGCAAAGGGAATTTTGGGATGTGAGAACGTTTTGCAAAGAACAAGAATTAGCTATTGATTGTTTTCAGACCCCTGCTCATAATTTATTCTGTCCTTGCAAAAAAAAAAAAAAGAAATAAAAAAAAAATCCTTTTAGATATCTTTAAAGTTTAGGAAAATTAAGATAGACCTTTTTAATATATATATTTATATATTTATATATATACACACACATACACATATGTACACAATGGTGCATTTATAGTTACTATTTCCTCAGCCATTACAATATCATTCTCTAAATCTCTTGCTCTTGAAATGATCATGACTTGATGCCACTGCTAAAAATACCCTGTGCTGTGCGCAAGGAACACCAACACGACACCGCCAGGCATGTTGGGGTCGGCGCAGAGCTCGGAGGATGCGCTGCCTTTTCTGCATTCACTCTCCAGGCTCCAGAATAACAGAAATCCCACATTTTTGCAGAGCATTAAGCAAAAGCTGCTGGGTATCTTTGTGCAAAGGCAACGTGACATTTGGGCTCAAGAGCTTTGCCTTCATCTCCCTAAAACAAAATAATGACAAACCCTTGGAACAAACTCATCGCAGCTTGGGATCTCAGGTGGCCCCAGGATTCTGAATTCTGGGCGATTCAAACAGAGGTTTGGGGCATGAGGGAGGGGTGGTCATGGGACCAGCATGGCTTTGCAATTATCCTGTTCTCCCAGCACAGAGCAGGTGACCATCCACTGCGGCTGACCGGCCCCAGCAGTGACCAGTGATGGCGAAAGGCGGCGCTGAGCTGGCGCTGGGGGCTGCCTGCAGGCCCTGGCTCCTGCCCAAGGGCTTGGCCCTCACCAGCCACGCTCACTTCACCTGTGCCATGAGGAAGCCAGATTCCCTCATGCTCTCATAGTACTCGATGGCCAATGCAAAGTTAAATTCGCTGATGGCTGGCCCGTCGATGGCGATCTTCATGAGGTCAGAGAGCCCCTCGTCCTTGGCATGGCGCGACCGGCCACGCTTCAGCAGCTCCCGGCCACGGCTGATCTTCTCGGCAAGGACCGAGCCCAGCGGCAAGGCCAGGGCAATAGCTGCCAGGACAGCGAAGTCCGGGAAGAGTTCATGCATCTCAGAGCTGCTGTAGACCAGCTTGACACAGAGGTCCTTGAAGGAGAGCTGGCTGAGGCTGAAGACGATGCGCTTGAAGAGGGGAAAGTCGCTCAGGGCCCTCTCGCTCACCACCACCCGTGAGTACACCTGCAGCAGGAAATTCAGCTCGCTGACCCCATAGCTGCCAATGTCCTCCAGAGACTGGGGGTAGCACTTGGGGTTGAAGATGGCAGAGAAGGAACTGATGGCCTCCAGGACACTGCTGGGGAACCTGTCCAGCAGGTTGCCCCTCACCCTCTCCAGGTAGCTCTCCTTCAGGTGCTCAAAGTGTTTCAGGTGCACTTGGGAGCAGTTGGCCAGCTCAACACCCTTGTAGTAGAGGCGGCTCTCGCCCTCCTGGCCGTCCTGCGGGTGCTTGTTCATCTCGCTGAGGAACTCGCGGAGGTTCTGGCCGCTGGCGCTCTGCTGGGCCTGCAGCGTGGTGGCAGTGGCTGAGACTATGGGCTTCAAGATGGAGAGGTCAAAGTCCTCGATCTGGAAGAAGCGACTGAGCTTCTGGAAGATGGGGAGGACATCCAGAAGGATCTTGGTGAAGGCCACAAACTGGAACTTCTTGAGCTCTTCGCAGAGGCCACGGGCCACGGGTGAGCGCTCCGCCTCGCTCTCCAGCAGCAGCACCAGTGTGGGCCACGAGGAGTCAATGGCCTCTACAGCTGGAAAGATAGAAGTCCAGTGGATGGCTTTGGGGCTCCCGAGGTCTATCTCACAGAGGTCCAGGACTCTCCGCAGCTCCTGCAGGCTATTGCCTTCCCCCTGGAACCTGGAGTAGAGCCTATACACAGCATCCACGGTGGTCTCATACTTCTGGAGGTACTCGATGGCGCTGATGCTCTCGGCCAGCAGCAGGGAGGTGCCGTGGGACAGGCAGTGCACCTCAGTGAGGAGCGGGCAGAGCGAGGTCAGCGCCGTTCCCACCCCGCTCAGCCGCTCGGCCACCAGTGAGGCACTGTCAGCGCTGAGCCAGGTGAGCTTCATGGTGGGGATGCCGAAGGAGTGCATCACCTCACCCACCTTGCCTGCCACAGTGGAGGCCCCCCCGGTGGGCAGCTCGAAGCTGCCCAGGAAGGTGGTGGAGGTCTGCCCGTTGCAGGGGGAGACAGTGGTGGTGAACACGGCGAGGCTGCGGTGCTCCAGGACGTCCACCGTCTCATCCACCACCAGCCCAATGAACGGCGAGGCTTTGATCCTGTGCCTGTCCTCGTTGTGGAGGACTTTGGCAATGGCTGCCTGGGCCAGTTGAAGGGGGTGGGGGTGCAGGGAGGGAGAGAGAAACACAAATGAGATTCAGAGGCAGTGGGAGATGCGCAGCACTTGGCACAGAGCGAGCGGGTGGGCTCCCACCCACAGGCTCCCGCAGTGCAGGAGCCCCGAGCCAGGGAAAAGCCCTTACACTTGTTGCACACACGGAGGCTGGAAATCACTTTCCTTCTCCCTAATAAGCTTTCTCATCCTGCTCCTGTTTGCCAGCTCAAGCACCATGAGAAGCTGCAGAGAGCTTGGGGGTTCCTGTCCTGAGCTCGGGGTCAGAGCCCTACAGATGCAGCAGGACACAGCACCAGCAGTAGCACTGACCCCTCAGCCCCCCAACACCCCATTCCCAAGCCCCCTCCTACACTGGCAGTGAGGCAGGACACCAGGAACCAACCTGCCCCACTCAACTCCAGCAGTTCCACTTCACTGGCCCAGCAGGGGCAGGAGAAGCAGCAAAACTGCAACATTTTTTTCATATTTACTCATTTACTCACACTCCCCCCATTTCAAGCCAAGTCCCCAGCTTGGAGGGAAAACTTCCTCTGTGTGAGTGCTGCAAGGATCACCACAGGCTGGGAAACCTAATTAGTGGGTTTAGTCTATCTGCAGTAAAATAAGGCTCTGCAGAGAGCTGAAAAGCCTGGCAAATGGCCAAGACTCACTAAAAATTTAATTTGATTCTAGCAGGCATGAAGCGTTTGTAAAATTCAGAAAATCCTTTCTAAACTCTCCGGCTACTTGATCTTTCTGATCACTCAGTTGAGGGCAAAAGAGGCAAAACCCACAGTGCTTGTGTGTTAATTGAACTCCCGAGCTTTCATTCTGCAAAGCAGCCTGGCCAGCTCGGGGACCGGGCTCCGTCCCCGCTCCGCCAGGTGCAGACCCCCAGCCCCGCGTACACACCTGCATCTCCCTGACGCTGCCGGGGTGGTAATACTCGCTGTGCTCCGAGGCCAGCAGCGCCTGGCACAGGTTGAACTTCTGGAAGTTGAGCAGGGAGGAGCACTTCTCATCCGGGATCTCCTCCTTGGCCATCCAGTAGACGGTGGTGAGGACGGCCACCTTGGCGGGGTTCACCTCCACCTTGATGAGCGAGCGCAGCTCGGGGTGGCCGTGGACACGGGTCTCGAAGGCCAGCTGCTCGCGGTTCACGGCCAGCGCCTGGCGGTGCGCGCCGGAGGTGACGTGCCGCAGCAGCGCGTGGCGCTGGAAGTTGTCCGTGCCCACGGTAAAAGCGTTTTCCGCTTTACCGTGCTTGTTCTTCACCAGTGCCTGCCGACACTCTATACAAAACATGAGCTTCCTTTCATAGTCAAACTCCAGCCAGGTAAATTCTTCCTTCCAGTGCTCATTGAAATAGCGTTTACACTTTTTATTGGAATTGGAAGTTTCCCCAGCTGGCTTTTTCCCTGGAGGCACCATATTGCTGTGGCTGGGAAATCAACTACGGTTGAACCGCACTGTGCCTCGAGGAGCAGCCTGCACATTTAATTTAGTAAGAAGGTCTATTACCACTCTCCTGGTCCGACTGGAGATGAAAGAGACACAAGGGAAAGGGATTAGGGCCCTGCAAACCTCAGCCAGGGCTCAGCTGTGGTGGCACAGCGACAGTGGCACGGTGACAGCAGCAGTGACGGCAGTGCTGAGGGCAGGTCAGGCTGTGCAGCCCCAGCACCACACAGGGGGATCCCATCAAGAACCTCATCAGCATCACCAGCAGCTCTTGGTGTCACTGGTGGGACTGGGGCACAAACACAGTCCCATTGCCACAGGAACACCCACACACTGTGCTGGCACTGGGAAGGTGAGGAAGGCTCAGCACTGGCTGAAACACCTAAAAAAGAGCGTTCAGCCCCAGAGGAGCAGCACCCGCTGCTGGCAGTGAGTGCCAGGGCCCTGGAGCTGAACAAGGGTGACTGGGAGCTAGCTCAGACACACGTGCTTGTGTGCACAGGTGTGCTCTGTCCTGCCTGGCTTGTCTCTCCTCCAGGGAATTGCCGAAGCCGTGGCAGGTCCCATGGCAGCAGAGCCATGCTCTGCACATTCAATGGCAGCCCCCTCGCAGGGGGTGACACAACGCATCAGCTCCAGGCCAGGCTCCCAAATTTCTACTGAGCTAGAGGCTGCAAAGCACTTAACCCTGTAACCAAACCTGGACCTGAAGGGTTTCAGCATTCACTTGACCTTCTCCCTACACTTCAGGCCCGCCCAGTCTGATCCTCACATTTCTCCATGAACTGGGCTGAAAATCCAAACTGAGCCTTGATAAAGGTGTTGGTAAGAGGAGGAGGAAGAACCCAGCGCTGCATGGGGAAAAGGGGAAAAAAAAATGCAGGGGAAAAAAGAAAGAACATGGACACTCCGCAGCAGGGAAACTGGGGAATACCATCAGTCCGCACGACTTGCTGAGACACCAATGAGAAACTTGGGGTTTTTCTGAAGAACAAGCCCCCAAACCAGTCCCCACGGGGTGCCATGGGCAATGCTGGTGGGTGGCCCTGGAGTGACCGGCACCGTAGCTCCTGGCACAGTGACCCCATCATCCATCCCTGCGCCGGGCGGGCACCGAGCTCCTGCCTGCAATGGCCCCAGCGGGAGGATTCCTGTGCTCTTTCCCTGTCACTGACCCCATTCGCTCCCAAGCCATCCCCACAGCCCCCTCCCTCCAGCACTTGCTCCAGCAGAAGCCGCTGCTTTGGAAAGAAAAACAAAAAAAAGAGCAGCAATTAGTGCGTGGGATGCACGAGGCCGTGGCGGGGATTGGGATGGAGCAGAGCGCCATGGCACCCCTTCCCTCGGCACCCTTTCCCTTCCCTCGGCACCCTTTCCCTTCCCTCGGCACCCCTTCCCTTCCCACGGCACCCCTTCCCTTCCCTCGGCACCTCTTCCCTTCCCTCGGCACCCCTTCCATCCGTGCTGCTCCGGCACCAGCCCAGCGCCCCTCGCTGCTGCTGCCCACGGGCAAGAGCAGCGCTGCGCATCGCGGGGGACTCGGCAGCGGCTCGGGATGGGGGTCACGCTCCGGTGCCCGCACCAGCCTGCTGCTCCCCCCGCCGGGAAGTTTGGGCAGGATGAGGATTTACTCGTGAGAGGACAAGGCGCTGCCCTGAGCCTCGTCCCTGGTGCATCAGCCCCGGCTGCCGGCTCGCCGTGCCCGAGAGGGTGAGCGGAGCAGCCCCAGCGCCCAGCCCAGTGCCCAGCCCTGCGTGCCCACCCCGCTCACCGCCCCTACATACGTACCATGGAAAGGCTGCCATAAGCTTTGGGGTGGGGGGGTGGGGGGCTCGCAAACTTCCCAGATTTTAAATAGGAAAGAAAAAAAAAAAAAAATCATCTAATTAAAAATAAAATAAAAACAAACCCAGCCAAGCAACGCAAAGCCGAAAATAAACCAAAAAAAAAAAAAACCAAAAACAAAGCAGCGGGGTGTTTGTGAGGCGGCAGCACCCCGCAGCCCCCGCGGGGCCGGCTGTGGGAACAAAGCCTGCAGCGGCCGCCCGCGCTCACCGGAGCACGGGAGCAGCCATCTTGCTGCCTCACGGCCGCCTCACGGCTGCCGCCAGCCCACGGCGGCAGTGGCCACTAGCGGTGGCCGCGATGGGGAAGGCCGCGAGGCCGTGGCCGGGCCGAGAGGACACTGGATGTGGTGGCCGAGCCGTGGGCTCCGGCCCCTGGGCAGGGGGAGCACACGGAGCCCGCTCGGCCGCCGGGACCCCCGAGGAGCGATGGGCAGCAGGGGGCCGGGGCCGGGGTGTTTTGGCTGAGAGCTGGGCACATGCAGCACGGTGAGCGGCAGGAGCGTTTGCAGCCAGCCAGGAGCGGTGTCTCTGGCTTTCGGGAGTGTTCTGCGAGCAGCCGTGGGCAGAGCAGCCCCCAGCCGTGGGTACGGAGCTTCAGCAGGATCCAAGTCCAAGCCCTTTAGGGAAGGCCACAAGGTGTTCCTGCTTCCCTGCACTCCTGGGCCGTAGCTGAAACCCAGCCCCTTGACCCAGGGCTGCCTAACGAGCACAGGGGTCCCCGACATCATAAAAAACTTTCTCTTAGCAATAAATGCAGGTGAAATTTAGTAGCCTCTCGACTACTTCCAGAAAGAGGATTTTGTGCCACATTTGCTTTCCCCAGACTGAGAACCTGAAATCCCAAGGGGCACCAGTGTCCCGTGGGACCCCTGATGGGAACCTGGCTCTTGTTTCCCAGCACTGGGAGCTGAAGGATGCTCCCACCCAGACTCGCCCTTCCCCCGGTGTGGAGTTGGGCCATGAGCAGGGATGTGGCCCACCGGAATTTGCCTGGATTAGGAGCTGCATTGTACCTGGCTCTGCACCAGGAGGTTCTGGCAGCCCCCGGTTAATTCCTCTCTTTAGGCTCCTCCACGTATCCCGGGGCAAGAGGCTCTTCCTGCTCTGGGAACATTCTTGCCGAGCCACCTTAGCCCAGGGTTAATGAGAACAGGAGGTGGTGAAACCAGAGCCGGCTCCTGGGGTGAAAACACGCCCGATTTTATTCTTGTGCTAATGCCACGAGAAAAAAAGGATTGGGTATTTTTAATGAGTTTTTAGGCAGGAGCCTGCTGCATCCCCTGGTCCCATTCCCTGGTTCCCAGCATCCAGAGCAGGTCAGCAGAGGTAGCGACCCCAAATCAGCAGTGGCTGGAACCAACTCCACTTCCCATGGGGACCCCTCCACGGAGCCCCTGTGCTGGGATCCACAGAACATCCCTGCTCTGCCTCCTCCGTGCAAGGCTGAAACCACTGACCCTGTCTCCTCTGCAAACCCATTCCTGCTGGAAGCCTCAAACTTTAACTCGAATTTCAGGCAGCGTATGCTGGATTGTCCCTGACCCTGCCGAGCAGCCTGCCCTCACAGAGCTGCCGGATGTCAGACGTCCTTCCTAAAGGAACCGGAGTGGAGATACTCCTGCTTCCCTCCATGCAGCAGCAGCAGCCGCCTTGGCTCGAGCCAATTGTTGCTATTTTTCCCGGCTGCCGTGCCTGAGGAGTTGGGTGGGCAGGTGCCCCGGCACACCAGCACATCCATCATCCCCGCGGCACGAGGGCGGCGGCAGCCGTGAGCCACAGTTTCCATCCGAGTCCCAGTTTCCACCGGAATCCCACAGCTCCGGCAGCCAGAGCAGACCCCAGACACAGATCCCACTGGGATGCTCCGGGCCGATCCCTGGCACCCCTTCCAGCCCCACATCCATGCATGGGTTCCCCAAGGGTTTCTTACTGCATCTATAAGAAGCTGAACAGAAGACACCAAACCCAGCCATATTACCCTAAAATTTTTTAAATCCCCGAGTCCAAAGATATTTATGAGATTTTCTTTCCATCCCTGCTCTAAGCCAGTCAGGCTCTGGGAAATGACGCATGCTCTTCCCTCGGGGAAGCGGAGGTGCTAGTGTTCCCAAAGCTGCTGACCCCAGGGAGCCCCATCCCCGAGCAGCCCCCAGTTCTCCTGCCCACCCACCTTCCTGGGCCTGGCTCCACCAGCCTTCTCACCCCTGGCCATCACAGGGCGTGGGGTAGGAAAGAGCCAGCACCCTGCAGGTCCCTGCTCACCCTCTGCACCCAAACCCCCAGCTGTGACAGCCCCCAGAATGAACTGGGAGCACGCAGGGGAGGGAGGACTCATGGGAGCTGCCCGGCTGCATCCCTCGCACCCGAAGGTGGTGACAGCTCAGTTCAATCTCTGCCGTGTGTGGTGGAGAGGGAAGGCTTCAAGGAGCCGCTGTCTCATGTGGGAGAGAGCACCCGGCACCGTGTCAGCTCAGCCAAATTAAAAATATTCCTGCAGCCCCCGGGGCTGGTGCCTGGACGGGCGGATCTGACAGGGACATGGCCTGCAGGATGTGCAGATGCTGGAAGGGACATGGGGAGGAGAAAGGGATGGGACACACACTGGGGGACCCCAGCATTTCCCAGCTGTGTCCCAGCTCTCCTGAACAACTCAGGGTGCTGCT